CAAGAACGGCTGCGCGTGCAGAGTCCGGAGCCACCAGCACCCGAGCGTGCCCTGTCCCCTGCCGAACGCCGGGCCCTGGAGGCTGAGAAGCGTGCACTGTGGAGGGCAGCCAGGTAAGCCCCTGCCTGGGGTCCCCACCCCGCCCTGCGGCCTTTCCCTGCTCCTGCCCCGAGTCACCCCTGCCCACTGTTCTCCGCAGGATGAAGTCACTGGAACAGGACGCTCTCCGAGCACAGATGGTCCTCAGCAGGTCGCAGGAGGGCCGGGGCATGCGGGGGCCCCTGGAGCGACTGGCGGAGGCCCCTTCCCCTGCACCCACCCCGTCGCCCACCCCTTTGGAAGGTCCGTGGGTAAGGGCAGGTGGGGGGGTCAGCCTGCTGCTTGGGCTGCTTCCAACACCCGCTTCTTGTCCCCCTAGACCTCGGCCCCCAGACCAGCACCTCCCCGGGACGCCTGGTGAGGAGCCGGTGGCTATGCCCTCCCTTCACCCCCAAGGCATGGGGGGGGTCTGGCCTGCCCCCACCCCCGTGGCCCTCACCCCCTCTTCCTCTCACTCTCTGCCTCTCCCCTCACGCTGTCCTTTCAAGCCCTTGTCTGGAAAGAAGTTTGACTACAGGGCCTTTGCAGCCCTGCCTTCTTCCAGACCTGTCTATGACATCCAGGTACCTGGCCTCCAGGCCTCTGCATGCCTGCCACCCCGTCCGTGCCTGCCACCGCCTCCATCCGCTCCCGCAGGGCCTCCCCGCGTTCTGCCGTGGCCCTGCTTCTCCATCCCCCTCCCCCCTTCAGCCGGGCTCTGTGGGCCTCAGGGCTGGGAGCCCACATGTGGGTGGTTTGGGGCAGGGCTGGCGCCGGCCTGATCAACACTCTCCCCATCACAGTCGCCGGACTTTGCTGAGGAGTTGAGGTCCCTGGAACCATCTCCCAGCCCTGGTGAGTTGGGGCCGGGCTGGGGTGAACTCCCAGGAGCCCAGCTGCCCTCAGCTCACTGCCCGCCTGTCCCTGCCCGCCAGGCCCACAGGAGGAGGATGGAGAAGTGGCTCTGGTGCTTCTGGGCAGGCCCGCTCCTGGCGCCGTGGGCCCTGAAGATGTGGCGCTTTGCAGCAGCCGTCGCCCTGTAAGGCCTGGGCGCCGTGGCCTGGGCCCTGTGCCCTCCTAGAGGAGCAGGCGCCTCCCCCAGACTTGGGGTGGGGGCCCTGCCAGCTCCAGCACCACCCTTGCCCCAAGTCTTTTAACCTGGGTGTTAGCATTTTAAAGAGACCCCGCAGGAATTCTGGCCTCTGACTAACTGCCCCACCCCAGCCGAGACCTCGGCAAGACTGTAACTAGTGATGTTTGTACAACCAAAGACTCTATTTTGTGGTTTAAGGAGAATAAAGTTGACTACATTTTACCTCCCGTCTGCCTGTCCACCTCCCCCCGCCCACTAGCACAGACCCTTCCTGCCCTCCGAGGCCAGGCTGAGTTCCGAGGGCTGCACCCTCCCCTCCCTCCCACGTCTCCCGTTGCGCCTCACTGCGCACAGGTTGGGCCGGGCGGACTGCCCATCCCCAGCAGGGCCTCCCCCAAGTGCCTGCAAACCTGTGTCTGCCAGCCGGGGGCTCGGGACAGCCAGGGCCCTGGACTCTCACACACCGCCGCTGCCCCTCATGCACAAAGCACAGATGCCACACCGCGCCCTGGGGCACACGCTTTATTGGGGCTAGCACTAGAGGCCTGTGCCCGGCAGCTGCACACGCACCGGGAGCAGCACCTGCAGCTGCTCGGCTGGCGGCCACTGGACCTTGGTGACGAAAAAGAGGCGGAAGTGCTCCAGGCGCTGCTCCTGGAACTGCGTGGGGCTATACTCTGGCCCATCCGTGGGCCGCAGCAGCGACAGGTACCTCTCCTGCTCCAGCAGGCCTCGGCTCAGCAGTGTCTGCGCCAGGCCAGGCTGCACCGCCTCCAGCTGCCGCTGCACGGCTGGGAACAGGTCTACCTCACGCAGGTCGAACACCAGCGGCTTCCCATACCTGCCCCATGAGGCTGGTGAGGCCGGGGTGGGGCTGGGGGGTGGGGGGTGGGTGTACCTGACCCTGCCCGCCTCACCGCAGAGCCCCCAGGAGAGCCAGCCGCAGCCTCTCCGGCTTCAGGTGCTCCGGGTTCACTGTGTCCACATAGTTGGTGTCCTGGTAGCGCAGGAAGGTGGCTGCCTGGCCCGAAGGGTCAATGACAAGAGGCCACCTGGGGACACCCATCGAGTCACTGTTGTCTGTCCAAACCCCAAATCGCCCACATCTGGCCCGGAGCACTGACCGGCCATCGGCGCGAATGCGGTTGCCCACATCTTTCATCAGCACGTCGTGCAGCTCGGTGACCTGGCACTTCAGCCCGGGCGCCTCTTCCTCCCCTGTAGGGGTAGCAGAGTGCAGCTGACAGGCAAGCCCAATGCCGGACCCCGCCCTGGGCCATATCTCCCAGCCCCCAGCCAGTGCCCCATGCCAGGCCCACCCTCCTGCGTCTGCTCCCGCAGCTCCAGCCTGGCCATAGCCAGCGCCTCCTCGGCCTTCTGGGCCTCCTGCCGCAGCCTGTCCACCTGGGCCTCTGCGTCCTTGATGGCCTGGAGAAGGGGGCCACACTGACAGTCGCTCGCCCTGCCCCACGCTCTGGCTGGAGAGGGTACCTGCCTGAGCCTCCTCCCCACCCCACCTCGAGGAGGCCACTGTTGACTGGTGACTCCCCATGTTTAAGAGGGAAAAACTCCAGGCCTGGCAGGGGAGGAGGGCCTGGGCTGGTGTGGAACAAGGAGAGGGGGTGAGGGCGCAGGGGCACAGCAAGTCCACATGGGCTCCCACCTGCAGCGTGAGCCTGGTCTTGTCCATGCACCTCCACTCACACTGGTCGTGCTCTGTGATCCTCTGGCTCAGCTCACAGTATGCCTGTTGCAACTGGGTGGGTGTATGGGCAGGCCCTGGCAAGGCTGGCCAGTACCCTCCGACTAGGTCACTCCTGGCCCAGGGGCCTGAGGGCACCTCCCCTCCTAGCTCTTCCCCCAGCTTCCTGGCCCTCCCTCGGCTCCTCGTCCTCCCCACTCTGCTCTCCCTTCTTTTCTGGCTCCTCCCTGAGGACACACTCACCTCCTTGTGACACTGCTGCTGCTCCCTAGCCAGCTGTTGGACCTTGAGGGTCATGCTAGGGAGCGGGAATGAGCTGGGGTAGAGGCTTCCGCCAGCGCCCCCACCAGCACCCCCTGCCCACGCTCCCTGCCAGCGCCCCCACCAGCACCCCCTGCCCGCACTCCCTGCCAGTGCCACCAGCCCCCCCCACCAGCACACCCTGCCCGCGCTCTCTGCCCACGCTCCCTGCCTGCGCTCCCTGCCAGCGCCCCTTGCCAGCACCCCCTGCCCACGCTCCCTGCCCGTGCTCCCTGCCAGCGCCCCTCGCCAGCACCCCTTGCCAGCACCTCCCACACCCCTCCTGCCTGCCACACCGCTTGGCCTCAGCCTCCTTGTGCCTCTGGGCCTCCTGGGCCCGGCGCTGCTGCTCTGCCTCCATGTTCTGGAGCATGGCCTCCGTGAGGCTCAGGTCCCACGAGTGCAGCACGCTCGCCACGGTGTCCAGCGAGGCCACCTAGTGACAGACGACATTTGTCGAACACTCGGTGCTTGTTCTGAGTCTTCTCAGCCTGGAGAGGAACGGTTGCTCTCCCATTTGGGAGAAAGGGTGCCATTGTGCAGAAAGGCCTCAGTGCTCACAGCTGGTGCATGGTGAGCCCCAAAGCATGAGCCACTGCGGTACTGCTGTCCCCAAAGCCCAGACCACCCGGAATTCTCCTGGGCTTCCTGACCAAGTCCAAGCAGGAACCTGCTTCTGTGGCTGGGTTTCCAAAGGCTTCCTTCCCCTTCACTCCCCCAGGACCTGGCCCAGGCTTCCTGCCTCTGCCAGACTCAAGTACACGCCTGAGGCCTCGGCTGCCACTGCTGCTTTCTGAGTAGGAGGCTGGCCCACAGGACATGCACCCTGGATCTCCCTCCTCTGTGGTCTCCTGTAGATCTCTACCTGCAGGACACAACCCTTGGGACTGCCGCTGCCGCTCACCCTCCTGAGTCCCCATCACTCTAGGAGCAAGGAGTGGGTGCAGAGAGCCGAGCTCAAAGCCCAGCTGCCCTGGGTGAGTCCCTGACGTCCTGTGCCGGGGCCTCCTTGTCTGTGGAGCAGGGATGATGCGTGGAGGGGTCGCAGTGAGGAGGCAGGAAGAGCAGGAGCTCAGAGCAGGTCCACGTGCGCCTGGTGGCGGGCCAGTCCCAGCGTCACCCTTGACCAGGAAGCTGTGCATGAGTGTTTCCGTGTGTGAATGCCACTTGCCCCATCCTGCTCTGGGAAGGCAGGGTGACCAGGGCCTGCCGTCTAGTGTGGCCAGCTCCCTAATGGCTGGATGACAGCGGAAGGAGGCAAGGCAGTAGCTGAGAAGGGCCAGGTGGGGCAGGGAGACCCTTGTACTCGGAATCAGGCCTGGGAAACAGTTGGGGCCTGAGGAGCTGCTGGCTGGAGAGCAGAGGCCTGGGAGAAGGAGAGCAGGTGGCTGAAGGTGGGTGCCACAACCAAGAACAGACCGAGAGGGTGTGGCAGGCCTGGCAACGGGGCCAGGTGGAGGTGGACAGACACGGGCCACGGAGCAGGCAGAAGGCACTGCATTAGGGGTGTGCAGGTGAACAGCCGGCGTTCCCATAGAGCAAGGGGTTCATGGCGTGGGAAGGATGAAGCCAGGATGAGGGGAAAGGGGTGGGGAAGGATGAGTTCCCTGTAGCTCTTCCAGGGAGACTGGCCGCAGACAAGTGCAGCCAGGGAGACTGAATGTGGGCAGAACCAGGAAGAACTCACAAAAGTGTGGGAGGGAGGGGGACAGAGCAGACGAGAACGAGAGAAGCGGTGGCGCGGCGTGGCCTCGGGTAACCACCATCCTGGCCGAGCTGGTGCCGACTTAAGCATTTGTCTACAGATGCAGGGAGCAGAGATGGAGAGAAGGGGCAGTATAGGGGGCCTGCAGGTCTGCGGGGGGCCAGGGACATGCAGACAGGTGGTAAACTCACCTCCATGGCCACCTGATGGATCCACAGGCTGACAACAGCCTGAGGACCGGCCCTGTGCTATCTGCTTCCCAGTAGCTGGGACCAAAAGTTCAAAGCCCACCAGGGCCAAAATCAAAATTTTACACAGACGTTTGCTTTAAATAGAGCCCAAATATGCATATTTCTAGACATTTAGACCCTGCTGCTTTGCATACCCTGCAAAACTGAACCCACATCTGCCAGTGGTGGGTGAGACAAACCCTGGGGCTACAAAAACCTTCAGGCTGGGCTGCCTTCTGGAACTCTCTGGTGCCCCGTCCTGCTTCTGAGCAGTTTCCCGTAGGTGCCAAGCTCTCTGTGAAAACCTGTCCAAGTGCGGCCAGAATAACGCTCACTGCGTGCTGCTGCCCTCTCCTGGTCCTGTCTTCCTCCATCAGCCCCCAAATCTCCAGCCTCTGTGCCTCATTCCCCGGCAGCCAGAGGGGCTCTTTCCTTGTCCCCCAGGATCTTACACTGGCCAGTCTTCCTGTCTGGAAGCTCCTCAGACGTTCACAGCTCTCACTCCCTCCCCTCCAAGTTTTCCCTTGTATGTCACCTTCTCAGCAAAGCCCACCTTAGCCACCTTTCTTCAAATTCCAGCCCAGCCCTGCCCGCTCTGGTAGCCTGGTATCTCCACTGCACTATGAGTTGTGACAGAAGGGACTTTGTTTTGTTCAAGGATGTGCCCTAAGTACCTAGAACAGTGCCCAGCTCAGGTCTTCTGTCAGTTGGTCCAGTGGCTGGGCTAATGAACGGATGAGTTAATTCATAGATTAGCGTACACCTGATTGTTTGGACAGATAAATGGCTAAATAAATAGGAGAGATGACTATTAGAGACGTATTCATTTATGGACATTCCTCTGCACATTCATTTATCAATGACTCTGTCTACATTTGTAAATATAAATTTGCAAATATAAACATGTGGGTGGGTGAGTGGAGGAATTTATGAATATGCACATTTAATCCTCACTTTGGGCTCCTAAGGACAGTAAACCTCAGAGTAAGGTTGACTTCAGCCTAGCTTCAAATCCTCTTAATTCCTGAAGTTGGTGAAGTGACTCCAGACTTTTGGTACCCCCAATACATGGCAAAAGCTAAATCCTCAGTGAAAAAAGAGTGAAAAATACCTTTCTAGGCTTCAAATTATTCCTACCAATAAAACATATGACATGGCCAGGCAAGGTGACTCACGCCTATAATCCCAGCACTTTGGGAGGCCGAGGCATGCAGATTGCTTGAGCCCAGAAGTTCAAGACCAGCCTGGGCAACATGGCAAAATCCAGTCTCTACAAACAAATAAAAAAAATTAGGCCAGGCGCGGTAGCTCACGCCTGGGATCCCTGCACTTTGGAAGGCCAAGGTGGGCAGATAGATCACAAGGTCAGGAGTTTGAGACCAGCCTGGCCAACGTGGTGAAACCCTATCTCTACTAAAAATACAAAAATTAGCCAGGTGTGGTGGTGCGTGCCTATAAATCCCAGTTAATTGGGAGGCTGAGGCAGGAGAATTGCTTGAACCTGGGAGGCAGAGGTTGCAGTGAGCTGAGATCATGCCACTGCATTCCAGCCTGGGTGACAGAGCAAGACTCCGTGTCACAGAAAAAAAAAAAAATAGCTGGGCGTGGTGGCTCAAGCCTGTAGTCTTAGCTACTTGGGAAGCTGGGGCAGGACGATCACTTAAGCCCAGGGGGTCAAGGCTGCAGTTAACTGTGATCACACCACTGCACTCCAGCCTGGGTGACAGAGCGAGACCCTGTCTCAAAGAAAATAAAAAGTAAAAAAGACTGGGTCTGGTAGCTCACGCCTATAATCTCAGCACTTTGGGAAGCTGGATGGGCAGATCACTTGAGGTCAGGAGTTCAAGACCAGCCTAGCCAGCATGGCAAAACCCCATCTCTACTGAAAATACAAAAATGAGCTAATGTGGTGCTGCACACTGGTAGTCCCAGCTACTCAGGAGGCTGAGGCATGAGAATTGCTTGAACCTGAGAGGCAGAGGTTGCAGTGAGCTGAGATCATGCCACTGCACTACACAGCCTGGGTGACAGAGGAAGACTCTGTCTCAAAAAACAAAACAAGAAAAAAAAGAAGGCCGGGCACGGTGGCTCAAGCCTGTAGTCCTAGCACTTTGTCTCAAAAAAAAAAAAAAAAAAAAAAAAAAAAAAAAAAAAATACAATAAAAAGGCACAGGAAAATACAAGACAATATAAACAAAAATCTGCAGAAACTACAGATGATAGAAATAGCTCCATGAGGGATCAGGATATTAGAGTTAGCTACAGATTTTCAAACAGCTATATTTACTGTGCTCAAAGAGAGAGACTACATTGAGAATTTTAGCAGAGAGCTGGAACCAAATAAAATTTTAGACATGAAAATTAACCAAAATTAAGAACAAAGTGCATGGATTTAATAACTAGCTAGATGCAGCTGAAGAAAGAATTAGTAAACTGAAAGACATGTCACAAGAAAATATCCAGAATAAACTCAAACAAAAGGATGGAAAATATAGAAAAGGGTAAAAAACTGTGGTAGTTATTAGTGCTGATCATCAAACATGTCCATCCCTCCACCTTCTAGACATAGGATAGGATTAAACTTCCTGACCAATTTGTGGTTTCAGTGGAGCCAAACGACTAGATCTGACCAATGAGCTATAAGTAGAAGTGTTTGTGCTAGACCCTCCTCAGCTCTTTCCCTCTGGTATACTGACCAGCAATATTCAAGATGGTGGTTGCTGTGTCAGCCTGGGTCCCTGAAAGACTACAATTAGTAGAAGCCCCCTGTTAACCCTCAATGGACATGTAGCATAAGTAAAAAATAAACTCATTTTGTTTTATGCCATTGAGATTTGGAGACTGCATGTTCCACAGCACATCTGTATTAGTCCATTCTCACATGGCCAAAAAAGAACTACCTGAGACTGGGTAATTTATAAAGAAAGGAGATTTAATTGACTCATGGTTCTGCAGGCTGTACAGGAAGTGTGGTTAGGGAGACCTCAGGAAACTTACATTCATGGCAGAAGGCCAACGGGAAGCAGGCACATTTTACATGACTAGAGAAGGAGGAAGAGAGAGCAGGGGGAGATGCTACACACTTCTAAACAACCAGATCTCATGAGAACTCACTATCATGAGAAGACCATGGGGAAATCAGCCTCCATGATCCAAACACCTCCCCCCAGGCCCCTCCTCCAACACTGAGGATTACAATTCGACATGAGATTTGGGTGGGGACATAGATCCAAACCATATCAACATCCTAGTCTATCCTGGTTGATACAGAAATGTAGAGGCTATGGTGAGATCTACCATCTGTATATTTGGAGATTGAGATTAAGGGCAGAAACAGAGGTAATGACTGAGAACTTTCCAAAACTCACTCATGAAGAAAAACAAGGTGGGAAGACTTGCTTTTATCTGGTACAAGACTTGTTATGAAGCTACTGTAGTCAAGACATGGGTATTGACACAGGATAGATCAATAGACCTATGAAACAGAACAGCAATCCCAGAACAGAGCTATAAGTATATAGACACTTGACTCAGGGCACTGGTGATGGTGTAGAGTGAGGAGGGCAGTCTTTCACAAAGACTGTGTGTGCTCTCAGGACAATTGTGCATCCATATGAGACATAAACAAGCTTGAACATGACCTTTCACAAGACGGACCAAAACAACGTACAAAAATCTATTCGAGTGGATGATGGCTCTAAATGTGAAAGATGTAGAAGACTGCACAAGAAAATACCTTTATGTCCTCGGGAGAATGGAGAGAGTTCTTAAACTGACATGAAAAGCACCAACCATAAAGGAAAAGAATGATAAAATTTACTACAGCAAAACAAAATTTTCCATCAAATTATAACATTAAGAAAGTGAAAAGGCAAGTAAGACAGAAGACACCTATAACACATATAATTGATAAGGAGTTTGATCTAAAATATATAAATATTAGGTCCACAGAGCAATAAGAAAAATAAATCAGGCAACCCAGAGAAAAATGTTTGCTAATGCTAATAGGTACTACTTTAAAAACGATAGCTAACTGGCTAATATGCATAAGAGTTCTCACCTTCATTAATTGGCAGGGAAATGCAAGGTAAAACTGCAGTGAGACACCACGACACATCCACCATGAGTCTGTATTAAAAAACACTGGCAATCACAATGTCTGTGAGAGCATGGGGCAGTGGGACTGTAACATATCCTCAGTGGGAGCAGATAAACTGGTACAACCATTTTGGAAAACTGTGCACGTGTACCAAGAGACACATACAAGAATGTTCACAGCAGCATCATTATAACCAAAGCCTGGAAACAAACTGAACGTTTATCAGCAGTAAAATGGATAAATATGTTGCAGACATTTATATAATTAAAGTCTCCATAACAAAGTGAATGAACTATAGCTACAGGCAACAAGACTGAATCTCACAAATATAGCCTGTGATAGAAGAAGCCAGATACCAAAGATCAGCTGCCATATAAATTCATTTACATAAAGCTCAAACACAGTGAAACAAAGATATATTATTTTTATTTATTCATTTATTTTTGAGACAGAGTCTCGCTCTGTTGCCCAGGCTGGAGTGCAGTGGTGCGATCTCTGCTCACTGCAAGCTCTGCCTCCTGGGTTCATGCCATTCTCCTGCCTCAAACTTCTGAGTAGCTGGGACTACAGGCGCCCACCACCACACCTGGCTAATTTGTGTGTGTGTGTGTGTGTG